ACAAGGCAGGCAGGAGAACCACTGAGCTAAATCCCCGGCCCATGCCCCTCATGTCATGAATGTTCCCCCAGAGACACAAAACCAGGGCTGAGATAATATCCTAGCCCACCACAAGACACCATAAAACTAGTCTCTTCTTTTGGGAATAGGTCAGTCTGACCCACCTTTTCAAGCCTATGCCCTCTTTAGTTTCTCAAGGGAAAGTTCTTTTCCTACTGTCCCTTACTCTCCTTTGTTAGGGAATTAGCTTGATCTTTGTCAGAGTTGTACTCCCTTTTATTTTCTCTTATTTTTCTATTAAAGCTTTTTCCTGTAAACTTGTGCTGAATGCCAGTTTGCATTTCCACACTCACTGAAACAAGGGATGCACTAGCCAGTAACCCTATGCAGTGTGACCTCAGGGACTGTCAAGGTGTACATGCCAGCTGATCCCTCTTTCCACAGAAATAAACTGTGGATGGCCAGTGAGATACAAACTCCAAAGCACTGTTAATTAGAACTACTTTTTGCCAAAAGCAAAAAACAAAAACATAATCCTAGAGCCGCTGGGATTGCCTTCAGAACTGTGGTTGGAAATTCTACAATTTATAGCACTCTGGCAGATTCTAGACCTAATTAAATACTTATTATAAATTAAACAGAAAGGCTACTTACTCTCTGGAGAGCCCTCATTATAAATATAACTGATAACTCTCTACACAAACAGGCAATTATACTTTTATAAAATTAAATCTTCACTTTATTTACATACAGCCATTTCCTTTTCTATATTAAAAAAGAAAACTTGCAAGAGTTATACAGCTTTAACTTTTAGTGAGTCCACTTTTATAGTGGAGAAAATGCTTTACTAGCTTTGTTTAATAAGCAAAAAATTGTATTTAATAGATTTTTTAATACAATTATAACCATAGATACCAATGTAGTTGTTTGTTTTCTCTCAGTTTTAGCCTATATACTAAAGAAATCAAAAGTACAATCTACATTTATATGTGGCTTGAAAATCAAGCACCCCATAACTCCTAAGAATAAAATTGGAATAAAGTTGGAAAAGTCAATGATGAGTACACTGTGAATGAAGGATCTCAGTTTCAGTTTCAGCACTCTGCCTCTAGCCAGGCCCATTGACTTTGAAGAAGACATTTAATTCCTCAAATATTTCACCTGTAAAATTTATTTCCAATCATTTGATAAGTACTGAAGGCCTAGGAAGTATGACATTTGGTGACAAGAACACAGAACAGGACAGATAAGATCTCCATCACATTGAAAGGAATGAAAAAGCAATTGTAACAGAGTAGGGCAGGTGACACTGTAGGAAAAGCAGAAGACACTAAAGGTGCAAATCTGGCTGAACAAATCTAAGCACCCGGGATGCCTCTTCAGCCCAGTGTGTCACTGTTGCATTGAATACCCCTTCAAAGGTCTTCACCCTTCTGTCCCCACCCCTACCCTCTCCCAGGCACCAGCCTGTCTTTCCTGACACACTTGTGTGCTCTCTCCAGGTGATGCCCACATTACAATAAAAAATATGTCTTTGCATGTGGAAATCTGGTCATATGGATGTGGCTCTTTTTATTCCCTCCCAAATCATTGTTTTCAGATGGCCTACATGGGTCTACTTTGCATGGCTCTGTCTGTCCCCCACCTACATCTGCATCCTCTCCTCTCTCCATGCTACTGGTCTCACAGTACCTGGGCACATCAAGTCTTCTGCCCAGGGCCTTTGATTATGCTACCCCTCCTTCCTCATTGGTAAGAACTCCTCTAACCCTTTCATACTTGGTTCAAGTTGTATCCTCAAGGAGAATTTCATTTACTAAATCCCATCCTTCAGTAACAAAAGAGTGCCACAATGATGGGACAACTGTCCTCTATAGAATAGAGGTTTCGAGGAACTCACAGGAGTGGCAGACCTACCCTGACAGGATCAGATGTCAGAAAAAGGGATTCATAAACTGTGCTTTAAGGCAGAATAAAAGCCCTGTGGAGAGAAAGCTGCCCAGGCAGCTGTGAAGTGTAAACGTGAGACAATTCTGTATGGAAGAACTAAGAATCTAGCTGGTCCTTTCTCTGTATCCCCAGGGCCCTTAACATAATTGAGAATGTGTACTTGCTGACTATATATCTGAATCAAAGTAAATGTATTCTACACAGTATTCTCTAAAAACAAATTTAGCTACTATCAGATTTGGAAAATGTGTTCATCACAACTAGTTTTTACACAATTAAAGGGGATATGTTATAAAGTTTATCCTGATTACCAAAATTTGGAGAAATTCCCTTACACCAATAATATCACTTTTCTTTGCTGTCCTCTCCCCATAATGTTGATAACAAAGAGTAATTGTATACAACAGATGTCACTGATATTTTAATGTCTGAGATCACTAAATATATATGCCTAAGAATTGAGTCTGAGAGAATTTTTATATTCAAATTATTTGCTAAAAAGAAACAAAAAAGCTGCCCCACCACAAATAAATGTACTGAAAATGTACTGAATGTCTGCAGTATCTTGCTTTTAGATTTTTAAATGAAAATTTTATATTGAGCACCAATCAGCCAAATCTTGTAATTTTTCTCATCTCAAGAGAGAGTAGTATTGTGCAATTTTAAAAGCCTAAAAATAAGGCCTTTGGAGCTGACAATTTATGACACTGGAGAGGATGGTGATTACATTTCCCCACTGTTGCATGGAGATGACAGAGCTGCCCCTCTACAAGTTGTATCAGAACAGTGACAGCAATGAGCACATCTGCCACTCAGAGCTTAGTCTCTAAATAAAAGGAATCAGGGATCCTTGGAAAAAATGGTTGATTCAGGGCTAGGGCATGGAAAATCTAAGATAAGCCTAGAACAGTGATGGCAAACCTTTTAGAGCTTTTAATGATACAACAGTCCACTATGGCACATGTGTCATAGGTTCCCACCACTGGCTTAGAACACTTTGTGATTCCAGAAAGGAAGAAATGCTAAAAAAAAAACACCTGTTGGGAACTTGACAAAAGAACACAGGAACCAACCTGAAGGAGCTCTCCTGGCCAAAGCCAAAACACACTGAGCAGTAAAATGAATAATGATAGGATTCTATTTTAATTTGTACAATACAGTAAAGACCCATGAGTCCATCTGATATTAAAAATGGAGGATACAGGACAGGTCTTCCTTAGAATTTCACTTAATAAACATAGAAAAGGAAAACAGAAAAATTACAATGGGCAACCAATACAATAACACTTGCAGACAAGATCCACCAGAGGATGGTAAAATTAGAGGGGTAAATGTGAGGCAAAACTTGTGCATAGAATTTTATCTCCCCTAAGACAGAGGAGAAGGACAGTATCTTTATGGTGGAAAAACCCAGCAGGCACACTGTAGCACCTGACCACCAGGACCAGGATGAGTTATGACCCACTAATGTGCTCACGGAGAAGAACACACAGTCTTTTCTGTGGTATTTCTGCCAAAAATGCATGACCTCATTCCAGCTGTGACAGAAATCAGTCAATCCACCTTGAGATCACTGTACAAAATAACTAATAGTCATCAAAAGTACCAAATTCATAAAGAAAACAAAAAAACCTAAGGAACAAGTTGGAGGACACAGATACGGAAATAGAAAACAGGGCAGTAGAAAAACTAGTAGAATTCAAATAAGGTTAGTAATTCAGTTTACACTATTATACCACAGTTAACTTCCTCGTTTTGATTATTGTGTTTTACTATGGTTACAAATGATGTTAATATAAGGAACTAGGTGAGTTATAAACAGGAAATCCTGGTACTACTTTTGCAACTTTTAAATCTAAAATTAGTTCAAAATGAAGTTTTTAAAGAAACTACATGAACATGGCAAATTAAAATAAATGTCTCTACTGTACATTCCACAGTACAGGAAATACACATGGCTGGTTTGCTCCTATCTGGCACACTGCCCATGCTCCCCGCTCTCAGAGGACGGAGGTGGGTGGTGAGAGGTGCAGAGGAGGGTGTGACACACAACCTCCCGGGAGAGAAGAGCACATACTATGAGGACTTCTTAAGTCTTGTTCCTGATAGGGAACAAAATTCACATTCCATTCCCATATACCATAAAGATAATTCTCAAGTGAAGAAAGAAAGAAGTATGAGGTGAGGCATAAAGAACTGGGGAACAGGAGGGAGGGACAAACAATATTCATTTGCCAAGAAGATTCCTTAGTGTTTTTGTGTAGATGGTGAAAAGACTATTCATTTGGGAAAATGGCTGAATATCTTCACAATGTATTAACTGAGTCAAGTAATTTGAACATTCCTTAGTCTTCCTCTTACAAATTTTACATTAATAAAACAATCTCATCTATAAGTCAGCCACTTTTCACCATAAGTATATTTTTCAAGCCTCATGACTTCATACTCTTACTTTATATGATTTTTGCGGAAAGGACTTTTACTTCCACTTTTTTTAAGCCCTGAAGATTGAACCCAGGGCCTTCACACTGAATCCTCACCTCCTTAAATTTTCAGACAAGGTCTTGATAAGTTGCTTGGGCTGGGCTCAATTTGTGATCTTCCTGCCTCATCCTTCTAAAGTGCTGGGGTGACAGGTGTACATCACCACACCTGGCACTTTCACTCTTACTTTAACATTCTTTCAGCATATAAGGAACATAATGCACAACAAATATTCCTATGAATATGCAAACAGGCATGTGGAATCCAGAGTACTCTTGAGTAGGACAACCTAGGAGGATGAAATAACAGGAACACTGGAATAGGTGGGAGAGGAACTCTCAGTCTGTGAATTAATGGCGCCTGGATTCCAATCAAATTCTTTAACTCTGTGAACTTTAATTACCTTGTCTGTAATGTGGTAAAAACATCACTTAACTCATAGTATTATAAAGATGACATCAGCTAACTATACACAAATGCTTAGCCCATGGCACATTACTTAAATAGTATTAGTTTCTTTTGCCCTTCTCTATTTTACTGTGCAATGGTGTTCTCTGAAAACATACCGATTGAAGTTAATGTCAGGGTAAGTAGAATACTCTGACTTCATCTTAGCATTCCGCCGGGGAAATGTGCAGAAGAACGCATTAGCTAAAAGACTGGCAATCTGTTCCTGTGACATTGTGATGGAATGATTCATCCTCTGCTTCAGGAGAGGTATTGGCTGATGGAGGAAACAAAAATACAGACAAGAGCAATAATTAGTTTAGCAATTTTGAAAGCAGAGGCCTCAAATTGCATTTGCTAAATTATGGCAGGAGTAATTTTGAGCCACTCTTGAATCCTTAAATCAGCAACATTGTTAAAGTCAAGGGCTGCTTATCAGGGACAATTGGAAAAAGGTACTTGTTTGACAAACTGCAGATTTCTAATCAATAATTATGATAGTGAGAATACAAAACATTACTCATTAGTGAAAAACAAGATTGCTTTAGCAAGTACAAACACATTATCCATGTAATGATAAATTAAAACCAAAGACAAAAGAGAAAAATGCAATATTGAGTTTAGTTATTATTGCTTATGTTAAATTCTACCTTTAAATATTAGAAATTGTTGGATGAGCAATTTCTCTATCTTAGTCCTAAATAAAATGATCTAAGGAAAATAATTCAATAAATAAGTCTTTTCCTTCTTATTCTAAATCACATTGCACATGGACAATTTATGAGACCTAAATCTAATTTTTTTTTTTTGGTACCAGGAATCGAACTTGGGCCCTTGTGCTTGCAAGGCAGGCGGTGGAACCACTGGGCTAAATCCCCAACCCGACCTAAATCTAATTTTATTAAAGCAATTTAGTGGAACATGTGAAAACCATCATAGATTCATGGATAACGTGTAAAAGGCAGGCATTTTCTACATAAACATCCCAAGTTAAGGAAGATGCTGGACATTTTTTCTTCCAATCTTTTATGTCTAAAATGTCTTTACTTGTACCAAATTCAAATTCACTGACCTTTCATTGTTAGTATAATCCAGAGGACCTGAGTATTATGTTTGGTAAGTTTTATTCTCCTTTAAATGTCGAAACTATGTTTTTAAGGACGTGTTGGCAAAACCAAAGACACACTGCCAGTTTACCAATAAAGATGATTTTCTTTCTCTCTTTCAGAAAAACCCAGAATGAAGAATGCCAATTATTAGCACAAATCTCAAACCAGTTGTCTAGCGTAAACTATCCTCATCATTCTTCAGAAATGTACCACAAAATGAACCTGAGGAGGAGGCAGGCAAGACGAATCAAAATCACAATTTTTCTAAGTAACAGGGAACATACATCATTGCTGGAATGTTTGCTAGAATGAAGAAAAGGTTAATCTTGAAATTTAACTACTTCTCTTGGAAAAATTCACAAGTAAACAACAACGACAACAAAAGGTAAAGAATGTACTTTCACTATGGTCTCCAAAATCCTCCCTGCTTTCAAGCCTTGCTAATCACCATTTCTAAGAAGAAATAGAGAACTCATATTATCCCCATTTTCCATCCTAAATATTTATTTACAACCCAGCAATGAGTTTAGACAAGGTGACAGAGTATTCATGACTAAAAGCAAACTATTACTTGTTTTAATGAGAAACGAATCTTTTAGACTACCACGTTAGCCAGAAAAATGATTTTAAAAATTTATGGAGAATATTTTAGGCTTAATGGACTTGAAACACAAGCATTTCTCATCCCCAAATAAACAAAGAATATAATTTTTAAAAGAATAAATGACTTCTGTTCTCTTCGTGAAGAGAGATGCCTAAAAGCATAGAAAAGAGAAGATATAGATCTTACTGGCAAACATTCAGCTAGACAAAATAAGAAGCTGATTACTATGAACAAAGATATTTCAAAAACTTTCCTTTCAAAGTGTTTTTCCTTTGATTTTCTTTTTATAAATCTAAAATTTACTTTTTAGACTCGGCCTAGAGTACTTTAATGTGGCAAATAATTAAATATCAATGTGTACAGTTTAACTTGCCAAAAACATATTTTCATCTCAAGTCACATCTATATTTTCATAGAAGAGATTGGCTTTTGGCAGAGCACAAAACTGAGATGGAAAATGTTTTCCTAGCTATACACTAAATGAAAGAACAAAGCTGCAATAAGCCAGGATAAAAAGCTGAGAGGCCAGGAATCTGACTTGGTTCTACCAAGCAACTTATGATAGCTTACTAATTTACAAGCTTTTGAATAATAAGTATCTCATTAAGTAAAATACGGAAACTTCCTTTTGTAGCAGGAGAGGATGGGAGGGTTAAGTGAGCCATGTCAAAAGGCTAGATCCTGTTAATCATGAATTATACACTGAATTAAAAAAGCATTTAAGCACCACACATCTGGGGACACAGAGATCTCTCTTCAAAGGGAACATAATCTAGTGGGAGAAGATTTGTAAAGATGTAAGTTAAAAGCAGCATGGGAAGTATGATACGGTGATAAAGCTTTCCTGTGGAAAGCAGGGAAGGCTTCACAAGGGAAGTAATAAAAGGGAGAACTAGACAGTAGCAAGACATTTAATAGGCAAGGAAAGGAGAGAAGGGAAAGAGAAGGAGCATGTAATATAAGCTGTTTATTATTTAAGTAACTACCAACAGAAAGAGGTGTTTTTAAATATATTTTGTGTCTAATGGTAAAATTTATTTTAAACATAATGCATTACTAAGGTGAAATTAAAGTTACAAAGCATTGGAAACATCACAATAAGAAGCTAACAAATGTGGCCTCTGGTTCTCAGCTGACAGTGGCAGGGCCCCACACAGGTGTCTGACACATGTGGGGGTTTCTCGTGCCCCAGTGACTGTAGTCGTGGCTTGGGGGATGTGCAAGAGTGCAGCCATACTACACCCTGAGAAACTTTTACACCTGAAATGTCCCAAGAGCTCCTGGGGAGCAGCAGTGTTATCAGAATCCTGGTTAGCATCCATGCAGCAAGGGGCTGGCCTTAAAATAAAAAACAAGGGCAAATACAAACAGCATAGGAAGAAAATGAAGAATAAAACAACCTCCTAAGGAAGTCTGAAAATACGTTCACGAATTCTCTGATACTTTTCCCCTTAGAAGTGGAGTCTAATTCCCTTCTGCTCGAGTCTGAGCTACATTTAGTGACTGGCTTCTACTCAGTAGAAACAGTCTAAGTGACACTAGCAAGCTTGAGAAACTCAGTTACAAAAGGCACTGCAGCTTCTGCTCTTTGTGAGGAACAGCTAAGCAGGCCTTCCAGCCTGAAATGCCTTTGGAGGAGTCTAGCCCTCGCCCACACCCTGACTGCAACCATAAGACAGGTGAGCTGAGACTTCCTGAGCTAAGCTGTTCCCAAATTCATGGCCAACAACTGTGAGATCATACATGTTAATTTCTTTAAAACACTAAATTTTGGTGTAATATTTTATGTAGCAATATGTAATTAGTGCATTCTACACCAAATGAAGTCATATCAGATCCTTTCTTTTATTCTTAAGAAAGTACTATGAACTCATTTGTTATACTAATATATCACTTTGGAAGAGTGAAAAAGAAGTGGGTAGTCGTAAGCCCTTTTAAAAATATAATATCACAAATCCATTAACATGTTCTGAAATGACTTTTTTACAAAAAGATACAGATTGTTTCAATGAGAAGAAAGAAGTCTGAGTAAGCAAATTTCAACAGTGTCAACGGAAGCTCAGAAATTGAATGATGCATTTTTAATGTCCTTTTGTAGCATCCTCTCTAGCCTCTAACCTTTTCCTTAAGATAGCAACATTACCAAATTCTTTGGCAAATCTGCCTCCCACCCCTTTCTCTGACCCAAGTGTGAGCCTCAAGAGTGCACGAAGGATGTCAACTCACTAACCTGGGTGCAAATACTGGGCAGGCAAAGTGCGGCCTTCACCATGTCAGGCAGAATGGACTGACACAGATGCTGGGCTTCTGCTTCCTCAAGTACCTGGAAACCAACAGATATGCTACGTGAACAATGGTAAACCACGTTTGTTATGAAATTAAATTATGACTCCATTTCTCACAGAGTCCCATTAAAAAGCTCACGATCATCACCACTAAACACATGTGAACACAAATCAACAGATGAGCTACACACTTACAAATTCATTTGTAAACATGTATAATTCACCATAATGTCATGTGAAAACAAATTATGTAACCCAGAGTCGAATATTTCTCACATCCACATGCACAATCAAATACAACACTTACAAATGAAAAACAGTGCAGTTAGCCCGTTGTTATGCCAACTGAAAACTACTAGATAACCAAAGACTCAGGAGCCCTCAAGGACCCATTTAGCTTCCACAATATACGACTTAAATCACCAGAAAAGCTACCCTACTACTTCACAGCATACTGTATGTACCAAATTTAACCTGCTAGGCAGGAAACAGCGAGATTTCTTATAACCTTAGAATTCTTCCTTTCTAGGGACCCTTGGGAAGCTAAAAGCACAATTCCCGTATCATAATTTGAAGCACAACAAAGATGACATTCACAGTTCATTTTTGTCTTTTGTAAATTCTAATCTCTGCCACCTGGTGGACACAGGACTATTATTAATTCTGGGGAAAACAAAAAGTAGTAAAGCAATCATAGGCTAGATGAATAGGATTATACCATATTCTTAACAAAGCAGAATATAAAACTAAAATGAACAAGACAACTACAGTGGGAAAACAAGGGGGCAGAAATAAGGGTGCTGTCTGTGAGCAACAAGGAAGTTGCAGCTTCTCAAGTGGGAATGGGAAGCCAGCACATCACAAAGGGTAAAGAGCTCGGAGTAAAGTGGCTGCCTCTTCAGAATAAGCCTCTGTACTTTTGATAAAAACAAAAGCTAAGTTTAAAAAAGTCATACATAGAAGGCATTCTATTTTAGATGTATAAAATACTGTTTTCCTACATCTGAAAATGCATAAAATATATTCATGCATTTGTTTAACATAATAGAACTCTTCTAGCTTAGAATTTATCTTTTGGGTTTTTAAAACTTTTTATTTAGAAGTAACTATAGCTCCATAGGACTCTGTAAAAATGGTACAGAGGGATCTGGTATCCGTTTCACCCAGTTTTCCTCAGTGATGACATGTGTGTATATTTGTGCAACCACCAAAATCAAGACCATATAGAACTACTCCATTCCAGCAAAGGTCTCCAACTACCCATTTAGAGTCACACTTACCTCTCCTCCTCCTACTGTCCCTACCCTCCAGCAACCGCCAATCTGTTTTCCATCTCTGTAATTCTGTCATATTATACAAATGTATCCATTTGCCTTGTGTTCTTTCAAATTGACTTTTCATGCAGAGTAATGTCCCTGAAATTCATGTAAGTTGTTGAAAGTATCAATAGTCCCTTATTACTAAAAGGAACTCCATGATATGAATATACCATAGTTTGTTCAGTTACTCCCCTACTGAACAGCATCTTGGTTTCTAGTTTTTGTTATTACAAACTGCTATGGTTCAAGTACGTCCCCCAAGAGCTCACATGCTGGGAGACAGTTAAGTATGTCAGTGAAGAGCAGAGTGTGGAGTCTTTTAAGAGGTGGGGCCTGTTGGGAGGTCAGTGGAGTGCTGGCCTTGGTATGGATTAACATAGTTCTCCTGGCACTCTTAGTTCTTGTGAGGTTGTTAGGAAAAGCAGAACTGGGCCTTCCCTAGTCTCTCTGGCTTCTTGATCTCTGATTCTCTTACCACTCCTTTTCTTACCATGATGTCATACACACATAACACAGCCAAAGGGTCCCTCATGGAGTTGTGCCAATGCCAGCCCTTGAACCTCCAGAACCATGTGCTAAATCAAACTGTCTTTTATATGAAGTCTCAGCATTTCATCATGGTAAAAGAAAACAGATTAATACGAATAAAGCTGCCTTTTATTTTCAACCCATCTATATTGTTGTTTGAAGTGACTTCTAAACAACATAGTGTGCCATTCCTAAAACCACTCTGTAAATCTTTTAATAAATGGATGTAGATCATTTATGCTTAAGGTAATCATTGATGTTACAACTTCAGTCTGACATTTCTGGATTACTTGATAGTGAAATTTGTAAAGTACTTTAAATTGCATATTTTGAAGATTTTTAATGGTCATTCTAGGCACTATACTATTAACTTATCACCATCTACTTGTATCAATGTTTTTTCAGTTCCTTTTTTTTTCTGAGACAGGGTCTTGCTTTGTAGGTCAGGCTGGCTCTGAACTCACCATGTAGCCCAGGCTGGCTTTGAACTCGCAGTGATTCTCCTGCCTCAGCCTCCTGAGTGCTGGGATTACTCAGTTCCTTTAAATTACAAAGACTACCTTCCTTGAGGTTCTTTTACCTCCCCTTATTTATATTAAGTCTCATCAACATTTCTTCTAGCCATATTAGACAGTGTTTTACAATTTTTAAGAACAGTGAAAAAATGTTTTAACAATATTAAACATTCAAAAGGGAAAAATGCCTGTTACATTTACTCTTTCCATTGTTCTTTATTTTTCATAGTTTAAGGTTCCAACTTTTTTTTTTTTTTTGGTACCAGGGATCAAACTTGGGTCCTTGCGCTTGCGAGGCAAGCAGCGGAACCACTAAGCCAAATCCTTGGCCCTATGGTTCCTACTCTTACCATTTCTTTTCTGTTTCAAGAAATTTCTTTAGATATTTTCTATTTCCATTATGCTTTCCTTCTTCCTTATAAGTTATTTGAAAATAGTTATTTTCATTTGTGTTTAATGTATTTTTGATTGCATATTTTGAATAAACTGAATATACATGCTCAGATACTGGATATAGAATTCTGGGCTGGTAGTTCTTTTCTTTCAATTCTTCAAAGATTTTGTGTCACTTCTTTTTTTGCCCATTCCCTATTGTCAATGGGTTGCTTCTCTCTTGCTGCTTTCAAGATTTTTTGTTGTTGTTGCCTAAAATGAGACTATGAAATATCTTTCTGGGGATTTTTTTTTTTTTTTGGTTCGACCAGTTTGCTGTTCACTCAGTTTCTTGAACCTACAGGTTTCTGTGTTTTGTCAAATTTTAGCAGTTTGCAGCATCATTTCATTAAATACTTTTTCCTTCCCTCTTTCTCCTCTTTTGGGCACTCCAATGTTTCACCGGTTAATAAACTTTTTTCAAGCCTATATTCTCTCTTGCCCAGATCAACTAATTTCTTTTAATCCTTTTCAAGTTCATTGATTCTTTCCTCTGTCATATTTGTCCTCCATTAACCCATGCAGTTTAAAAAAAAATCAGTTAATGTAATTTTCAATTCTAAAATTCCATCTGGTTTACAGCCTTATTTATTGTTTGGTCTATTTATTTCATTTGTTTCAAGCATGTCTGTAATTGTTCATTAGAGCCTTTTTGTGATAGCTGTTCTTAAAGGCTTGTTAGATGATTCTAAGATCTGCATTATCTTGGAGTTGGTATGTATTGTTCTTTTTTCATTTCAGCTGAGATTTTTCTGGTTGTTGCTGAATTTTTTTTTTTTTTTTTTTTGTGGTACCAGAATCCAACTCAGGACTTTGCACTTGCAAGGCAGGCATGGAGTCACTGAGGTAAATTCCTGGCCCATTGATGAATGGTTTTTGACTGATACTTCTGACTTGGAAATTCTGGGTATTATGAGACTTTGGATCCCATTTAAATTTTTTATGTAAGCAAGACTGTGGCAGCAGGTGAAGGGGACAGCTACTTATTACTGTTAGCTGGGGGTGAAAATTCAGATTCCCCACTTGGCCTTCTTTGTCCATGGTAGGGAAGGGAAGAGGTGTCTTGACACCACTGAGTGGAAAACAGGCTCCATAGAAGGCCTATCCTCATACTATTCTGGTTCTATGTCTTTCCCAGGGTCTCACAGTCTCTAGCTGGGGTGCTTTTCTTCATCTTTCAAAGTCTTATGTTTATTTTATATACGTTGTCTGGTTTTGGCTGTATGTTCAAGAGAAAAGCAAAATGGCTACTCAAACATCCTAAACAAAAGAAACTGAACCTTAAGTGTCTTAATAGGCTGCTGGCTCCTTTGGGTCCCTGTCCTTGTCTTTTAAAGCTGATATATGAGTAGCTGCTGCTATGCTCTGCTTTACATACCACTATTTATATGATGAAGCATCATTATACTGTGCTTTTTCACAACTGTCAACACCAATCTCCAATGTTGCTCTGGAAACACAAATGAGAACACTAAAAAAAAAAAAATTATTTGAGAACATAACAGACTCAACCATTGTTTGAGATTGACTGTGTAATGTAAAAACCAGGATGAGAGCCAGGGGAGTAGCTTGGTGGTATAGCATTTGCCTAGAATGCAAAAGGCTCTAGGTTTGACACCCAGCACCTCAGTAACAACAACAAATACTGCCAAAACATCTACTGTTAATGTTCTGAGACACAACCTTCCAAGTTATTATCTATTTTGTTTCCACTTAACATAGTAGACATATTTCCCCACACAAATACATATAGCCCTATATCATCCTTCCTAATAGCGAGGCATTATTCTCTTTTTGGACATAGCATAATTTATTTCTCTAACTCTCTTACGATGAGCTTATAGGCTATAACTAGTTTTCCACTGTTGAAATCCCCACTGCAATGAATTTCCTTGTATATACACCTTTGACACATCTGTTGAATATCTCTATCAGAGAAAAATGTTACATCAAGAAGTGTGAACATTTTATTAAGGTTTTTGATACACTGTCAAACTGCCTTTCAGAAAGGCCCTACTGGTTTGTGTTCTTACTAATTCTGTGTAAGAAAGTACTTAACCCCAGACTTCTAACACTGTATATTCTCACATACTTGTTATCTTTGTAATTTGATGGGGTAAAGTGTTACTTTATTATTACTTTGTTTCTTAGATTACTAATGGTGTTAAACTCTATCCCCAGCAATTCAAGCCCTTCTTTCCTATCATTTTTTAATGTGTAAAAGCGCCAAACACTGAGATGAAG